CGATGAAGACTTCATCGAACCCGGTTTCTTCAGGGGGAAATCCGAGTGAAGGACCGGAGGCACCTCGTCTTTGCCACCGACTAGCAGCTGGAGGTCTTCGCCTCAACGAAAGAGTGATTCTTGGATGGCACGCTGGTGAGAAAGCCCTTATGCAACTGCTCTCCATCCATGCCTACATCCGGAACAGGGATGCCCTGAAGAAGATGCCACATGCTTTTGCCCTGATGTCAGGAAAGCATGCAAAGAACTACAGAAAGGTATTTAATTCATCCTATTGAACATGTAAGGAGAAATGTTTTTTTTTGTACAATTTAACAATCAAATAATATCCTTTACTATCAAAAAATCTTAAGATAATGAATCATTATCAGTTCGTGGGTATGTTATTAAAATGTAGAACCACGTGTTGAGTGCTATATCTTATTTATTCCAGAACGAGACAACATGGTAACACAACAGGTCGTACATAAGATTATTCATATTTGATTAAATCGTACTTTAATACATATGTTACAGATAAGATTCTTATACTTTTTTATGACTTTTAAGACACACTTTTTAAAGTCAATTTTGTTTATTTCAGCTATAATTCCAGTCCATTGTGGATTGTCTTCCTACCCCCAACCCCCCTTTCAGTGACATTGTTTACGGCTGCCTTCGAGCGTGGCATATGGAAGGGTTTGTAGGAGGTCTTCCCCCAGCCCACGATCCGTGGGTGTGTTTCACTGGTCCAATGCAGTCTACACCAAGGTTCAGGAGAATGGACTGCAAGTAAGCTATGAAAAAATATTATTGATACAATTAAAAAGTGTTTTAGAAATATATAAACAAACAAAGATATATTATTTTAAAAGTATTTATCAAATTGAAAGACATAAAAATATCTTTAAATTTCAATTTAAAATCATTAAATTTGCATTTATTTTATTCAGGTTGAGAGAGAGACGACGTCAACAAGAGTGTAGGGAAGTTCAAGGCTCTCCCTCTCATCCAGAGGATCAGCAACTCCGTCGGGGGGAGGGGGGAGAAACCTTGAGGGATGTTGTTGAGTATGTCCATCGGTCATGGATAATCAACTGCACATGGCCTGTGTCATCCTGGTCACCTTGAACCAGTCCACCCGGACAAAAAATGAGGTACATGTAATATTTTAAGGAAGTTTAGATATATAATAAATTTTCAAATATTCCAGGTTTATTAAACCTTTTTTATTAGTAATATTGTAAAATTTACTTCACTTCTGTACAATGTACTGAAAATATGTAAATATACACTATAGTTATAATAATTTAAAAATTACTTTTTCAGGTTGAAGGCTGGCACACGAGGATGAACCTGCAGAAGGTCCAAGGGTCCAACAACCTTCCATTGTGCGTCCCCCTAGACCTGAGGGAGGAAGCCAAACTCATCCCCCTGCAGGGATGCCTGATCAGTGAAGGAAAGCTGCATAGGAAGTCCACCGGAAAGGTAACATAGATTTCAATTAAAAATCGAAATATTAAAAAAAGAACTCACTATTAAAGTGCTCAAATAGAGTGCAAAATTTATTCTGATGTATCTTCATTTTAATTATTTTATTAGTAAATGAAGAATCTTAACTAATTGTCTAACTTTTTTTTAACTTTACTTTTGAATTTTTTTATTACTTGATGAAGGATCTTACTTACATGTCTTATTTTTCATATTAGGTCCATGCCAGCTGTGGAGCACCTATGCCATGGGGAACATCTCCACCTCTTGGAAGAGGCTTGGACGCCTGTACAGCCCCTTTTAAACTCTGCGTTTTGTGACAATAACTTATGTGAATGACTTATAGTGCTTGTTAGTTGTGCTTGTGTTGAAGAAGCTTTATATCCCTATTTGAAATCTGTGGCTGTGTTTTGTGAACAAGACAATCAGTGACTACTAGTAATACAGCTTTTTAGTTGTGCTTGTTGTGACTGTTTTGTTAACATGACAATAAGTGACTAATAGTGCTTGTTAGTTGTGCTTGTTGTGATTTATTTTTGTTTTGGTATCTTCATATGTAAATATTATATATTAAATAGAAAAAACTAGAAATGATGCTTCTTTGTCTGTTTTAATTAATAAACCACAAAGAAGAGGAGGAACGGCCCCATGAAGCAAAAGAAAAAATACATACAGTGGAAAAATGATGATAAAAAGAAGGAACCAAAATACCAAAATATTGAATAAAATAAATATCATTCAAGGTAGGATAAAACTTAGTATATAAAACATAGTTTAGAGAGAGAGAGTATATATAATGATGACTTCGTTATTGAATGTGTATCACAATCACCTAATGCAAGACGGGATTTCATTATGAATTCAGTATGACTAGTTATTCGAACAGTAACATAAACAGAACTTAGCTTAGTCAAACTTATGTTAAAAATATTTTATATGAGTCAACCTATGGTTTTTGATTTTATATAGATATATTGCTGAAAGTGATTCAGTTAGAGTTTTAATTATTCGCATACATTAAAGTTAACGTCCTTACCTATCGGTTTAAGTTATGTAAGATTAAATTATGATTATGTTTAAATTATTCGGAATGTACTGTTTGAAAAGAAATACCGCACGGTCCGAAAGTGGCGATTTGTGGTTCATTGTAAATGTTCACGACAATTGTTTTATCACCTGAGATGTTTTCAGTTTACCTTTTGTAACTCTTGTTTTGACAAATGTTCAATTACCCAGTTATTATCGCAAACAAGAAAAGATAATCGAACGCCTAGTCTACTTGAAACTGAAACTCTAAAAAGTTCAATACATTTTGACTCCCCGCTATGTACATGTATCTGGCTATGCATGTCAAAAGCAGTGTAACATCCATGCTACAGCAGCTCCAATGGCAGTCACTTCAGATCCGCCGGGAAAGGGCCCAAGTTATCATGTTGTATAGGATAGTTTATCATCCCGGCGGGGAGCTACTTGCAACCAGCATCGTTGAGGACCCGAGGCCACATCCTGCGATTCCTGGTACCACACACAAGGACAGAAGTGTGTAAGACCTCCTTCTTCCCTCAAGCCATCCGGCTGTGGAATTCCTTATCAGGAGGTATGGTGGAGGGCAAGACCCTGGACAGCTTCAAGACCCAGCTGTCCAGTGCCAGCCACTAAATGTCACATCTCTGCGCTTCTAATCTTTTAAACTTTTAATTTTGTGAGCACTGTATATAGACACTCACCCCCTCACGCAGAGTGCGATAATGGTTTTACACTGGATAGGAAGAAGAAGAAGAACCCGAATTTACCAGGTTGATTAAGCAGAAGTGGTACATGTATAAGTCAAGTCGTACATAAAACTTCAGTTTATTGAAGTAACTCGAATAAGCAGAAGTGAGCATTGTCAAGTCGTACACAAAATTTCAGGGGTAGAAGGTACCTGTAGTAAAAACGCTATATTTTAAGAAGTATTCCGTCGATTACTTTGAAAATGAATAGGCTTTGTCCTTTAATAATGTCACAGAAGTATGTAAAGGCTGAGAGTGGTTAATACAAAGTTTCTCTGTAAATCTTGCCCACAAACTGTAACACACACTAACACATAAAGCATTCGCGATGCTATATCCCCTACGCAACTAGTTGCGCGATGGGATAATCAGATGTTAGACCCGCTCGTATACTCGCTACATCTTACAACATCCCATAGAGGGTCACGTCAGAGGTCACATTCTATCAACCAATAAAATCGTCGCATACAAAATCATATATTTGTTGAAGCCAATAAGTCAAGAGTTGTTCTGAATATGACATCTAATGTGACCCTCTGGGATATTGTTAGATGTTAGCTTAGTAAGTATGCGAGCGGATCTGACATCAAATTTTAATAAGATTACCCAGGGATATGGTGGCGCTACTATAGACGATCCAAATACACGAAACATGGGGAGATAACGAACAGTATTCAAGATCAAAAGTCAATCAAACAATACTAAATAGGAGCAGAGCAAACACGGACCTCCATTGGAGATGGGATCAGGTGCCATGGAGTAGTAAGCATCCCCTGCCGACCGTTCTTACCCGCCGTGTGCTCCTTAGTTTTCTAGAATCCTAGTTTTCTGAATAGCAATCCGCAAACATTCGCGATGCTATATCCCCTACGCAACTAGTTGCACGAGGGGATAATTAGATGTTAGATCCGCTCGTATACTCGCTACACTAACATCTGACAACATCCCATAGTTTTCTGACTAGCAATCCGCAAAAATGCGGATCGAAAGAAGTTCTTGTGACAAACAATTACGATTTTGAACTATGATGCAAACTGAATGCAAAAGATTTTATGATTTCTTATGACTTTTATACCCTATGCAAACCTGTAGGTACCTGAAAGTTACTTGTTTACAGTTTATTTCACGCAACATGTTCAGTTCAAATCTCAGGCGGAACGAGCACGTTAGAAAATGGCCTTTGGATGTAAGAGTCCGGGTATGTAAGGAGCGTAGGGACATTAATCGAGGCTCTTACTTGTAGGAGTACGTGTACACTGTACATACCGGTATATCTTATCTAACATAATCTGTACATATATTTTGTCTACATTTCTAAGCTTATTTCTTAGACTAGAGAACTAATAAATTAGTATGTGTAAAAGCATGGTTTTCAGGTGATTATCTTAAAAGACGTATTTTGATTTTAAATCATTTGTTGAAATAATGCTTAAGAATTGTTAAAAGCAAGGCTCGCTTGGAGGATCAGGCCTAAGTGAAGTCCTAAGATACAAAATGTATTGTTTTAAGATTCGAAAAAAGATATCGAGTACAGACTTCCGTATAAAAAAGGGTATGTAAGGAATATTGAAAGTCCAAAATATTTTCACAAGAAAAACTTCCGCATGGTATCAACATAAATCGAACTATATATATCCGTTTATGCTCTTAACAAAAAATGGCATGTTGTAAATCTCTTTTTTTAAGATAAGGAAGTTACATATTTATTTCCTCACTGCCAATTTCCAGTAATAACAATATAATAAGTTTTTGATTTCCTGTGTAAAAGTTTCCTGTCCCGATTTTTTCTTTCATGGTTAACGGAACATTACAGAACAATGTCTTTGTACATTTGCTTTATAAGTTTATTAAGGATTTTTTCTTTGGCTTACGGTAAGAAATACTGTCGTTATATGCACTTATTCGCCTGCTTTAACAGTGTTTAATGATTTTTTTTTTTAGAATATGTAGAGTCACTGTGGAAATGTGTATATTATTGTACGGATAGTAATATAGTAACTCCACCTGAGGACTGATTTATACTTTCAAACATTATCGAGTTTAGGTACATATACTGGGTAAGTGTATTTTCGATCGAAATAACAAAGGTATATGTATTTATTAATTCCGACACAACTGCAATGTGTAATTGTTATTTATAAAAAATTTCGCTTCAAAGATCTTTTAAGTATTTCCGTGTGATTTTCTATGTTACTGTATGAAAACAAAATGAATTGAAAGTAAATTTGACTTCTGCATTTAATTTCCAAAATGAATTTTCTATATAGATGCAACATTATAAATATGTGGGTTCCTTTACTTGTTGGTTTACAACAGTATTTTCATCTTTATATATACTTAGCTGATATTTCATTCAGGTTACCACAGAGATTAGTTTATTGTTTAACGTCCCGCTCCGGAATTTTTTTACCTGTATTTAGACTCCACTACTTACCTTGAGCCTTGACTGGCACTTGACATACATGTACGGCCATCGAGCAGTGAGAGATATCTTTTTCCTTCCAGCACCAACTGCGACACCGGACCTCAATTTACGCTTTCTCATCCGAAGGACCGGTCTCCACATCCCACCCGCGATTTTAGGATTAACTCCTTTCTTCGCGAGTCTAGAGCAGACGCTCTAGCGAATGGAGGTACTGTGAGCTCCGAGCACTCTAAAAGGATACCTCCGCCTTCCATATGATTATAATGGTCAAGTCCATGTTTTGATCTAGGAAACCCGAGATAAGAGTCGGATTAAAAAAATAAATAGGAGGTGCCAAATATGATGAAGAATATGTGGAAGTTACATTTAATTTTATACAGTGATATAGGGCGAAGATGGGTACTCTTTTTAATGTCATCAGTGGTGATTTAAGTAGGGGGGCACCCCTCCCCTTAAAATTGTCAAAGTTAGCGTAAATCACACTTTCGTCGAGAAAATGTAAAAAAAAAATGTTTACTCGGTAGACCTCATTTTTACCCTACGAAATATCCGTAGAATCCAGGAGCTTCGCTTCTGGACCCCCTCGAGGCGGCCCCCAGACCCCCTGCCTACTTGAAGGGCCCCCTTTTATTTCAGTTCCTGGATCCGCGCCTTGTCATAGAGAGAATAGCAATGTCCAGGGTTGACTATAGGAAAACAAAAATATTTGTCGCATCAAAAAGTAAAATAGGTGTGCAAAGTGGCATGTAGCTTGGAAAACAAGTCTTCCATACATAGCAACTGGTGACTAATCTCGATAATGATGCATATTTATTAGGAAAATAATTCACCATCTTTAGCAAAACGCACATAGTTTTTAATCTGAGTTATTTTGTTATGCTCTTTTTTTTTCTCCAGAAAATTTAGCTCTTAATAAACCTGCTTATCAAGATCACCCTTACTTTAGTAATCAATGGGGAGCAGATAAAGCAGTTGACGGTAAATATGATAGTCTCACTTCAAATGCGGGACAATGTGTAATCTCTGCCAATGGCCAAACAACAGCGACATGGTGGGTCAACCTAGAAGGAGTGTACAGTATCAGCCACATAAATATTATCTACAGGACAGATAACTTACCTCGTATGTGTATTTCTAGCTCTACCAATCAGAGATCTGAAATGCCTCTGCGATAGTAAAGTGTTAGTCTTACTGTCTGTCTGTTAAAATAAACTATAAATAAAAGCTTCACCTCCAAGTTTTTGTTTGATTTCAGTTCAATTTGAAACACAATTTACTTTTCCAAGATGCATAATTCTTTATTCCCAATTCTTCCAAAAACTATTCGTTATGAAAAAAAACTCTACAATGCATCATACCCATTTATTGCCGCTATTTTTTTTTTCATTATTTTACCATCTTTTAAGTTTCGACTCTTTCAGAATTGTGGAAACTAAGAAATATTGAATTTATCTGGAATTTACATTTGTTACAGACCCCAGTCCCTATGTTCCCCGACTGGCTGGATTCTTCCTTTATGTTTCCAACACTTCCTCACGAGAGGACAGTCATCTTTGTTTCCATGAGATACAAAAAGTGAACGGAACACCTTCAGAAAACCAAACAACAAAATGCCCTGTGCATGGGCAATATGTCATATTCTACAACGAAAGAAAATCTGGAGTGAAATATCCTAGCTACTATTCCAACTATGCTTTTAATGAGCTATGTGAACTACAAGTATTCGGTAAGTAACCACGAGGAGCGTAAGTTTAAAATGAAATAATGTTTATGAAAGCAAATCAAAAGTTATCAATTAATTCTGCGTGAAAAAAAAATTCTAGGTTGTGAACGTGCAGGATTCTATGGAGAGAATTGTAATCTTCCTTGCTCGAATACCTGCCAGAACAGCCTATGTCACATACATACAGGGGAGTGTTACGGTTGCGTACCTGGATACCAGGGATCTCGCTGTGAACAATGTAAATATATTTAGCCATCCTAAAAATTGTTTGCTTACTCTCTACCGACCGCCTGACTAGAATGGTCCGACTCAAGACTTTTACATTCCAGGAAACGATTTTTTTTTTGTCTTCTTTGTATTTTTCTTATTTTGTCCACAAATATGTTGAAATTGTCTTAGAAAAAATTTTCCCACCTACCTACATTCCAATTATTTTACTCTTTCTCAGTAGAGGGTATGCAAAAATTTTTTTTAAGATGGCCTAAACAATTAGCCACCTTGGAGGGATTGTTACATGTAAAGCCTCATGACCTATCAATCCAATCACAAGATTTTCCGCCAATATTCTCCTTTATCCATTCATGTCTGAAACAGTACTGATTTTATTTAAACAGCATGTAGTTCCAAGAATATGTGTTTACTCTGCTCCTATATTGTATCGTTAAATGGACTTTTGAGCTTGATTACTGTAAATCACTTTTTATTCACGAGAACTTTATTTTCGCGTAATTACGCGAGACAGTGTGCCCGCGTATAATAGCATTCCTTAAATTATATAGAGCAATAACCACAATTCGTGAAAATTTTATCTCGCTAATCAAGAGTCAATGACTATTTAGCGAAAATAAGGTGTCGCGAAAATTTAGTGATCTACAGTACCTTATGTCATATCCATATGTTTCATCAAGTACAACTATATATACATGTATTATTTTTCATAATAAGTATGCAGTACCGGAAGTTATGGATCTCGGTGTTCATCATCATGTGGTAATTGTAGAAAAGGAGAGACGTGTCATCATGTTAATGGTACATGTTTAAACGGTTGTGGAGAAGGATTTCAAGGCACGACGTGCGAGCAGGGTAATTGTTCTTCCATTTGAAGACTAATATCATTAATCTTGTTCACTCCTTCATGACACCTGATCCCATGCACCTCTAATGTTTAAGAGGTCCATTTTTGCTCTGCTCCAAAATTTATATTATTTACTGGACTTTCGAGCTTGAATACTAGTCGTTATCTCAATATACATGCACCAGATATTTTGTAAATAATATTAAAATTGTTCCGTATTACAATATTCATTTTTCTACTGAATAAACAGAATGTCAAGTTGGATATTACGGCGAAAATTGCGGGGAAAGATGCAGCGAAAACTGCGTTCCTAACAACGAGTGCAATAGATTCAACGGAGAATGTCTCGAAGGTTGTAAACCGGGATGGAATCCTCCAAATTGTAATGGTAATTATCAATAAATCCAATTGGACACATTTTTCATGATAACAAACAGGCGGTGACAATACGTAATTCGTAAGATTCATGGAGAGTGCAGTGAAGTTATCATCCAGGTTGGTTGATTGATTGTATGTTGTTTCACGTCACTTTCGAGAATTTATCCAGATTTGAGGCTACATACATGTATCTGTACAATTGATAACCAATATTCACTTCTTTGCTAAATTTAAGAATGTTATTAAGCAGATCCAACTGAAACCCGGAAAGTCTCTAATGCTCTTGAAAATGAGCAACAACAGAAAATACACGTGGAATACTGTAAAATCATTCAATGTCGCGGGTGCTTGAATTCTACATATTTGTGGGGACCATATTGAGAATTTTAGGCATCTATAGTTCTTTTTATATTAATTTGTGAAGGGTGTAAATATGGATTGAAGGAACCAATGAGGAGTAAAATTGTAGAAGGCGAATCTTTTTTTTTTTTTTTTTTTTTGTAATAAGATTTTATTCAGTATTTTTTATAAATAACAACAATACATAAACAAAAATAATGATAGAGAAACATGAAAATCTATATGTTGTTAAATACATCAATTGTTTACATATTTATGCCAAGTTATTACAAAAATAAAGAGTAAATCCGATGTGTTTTCGATTATAACATTTTTTTTATAGTGCATATACATATAATGGAATCATGTTTTTTTAAAGACAAATTGTTGCAGAGTATAAATATACAAAATATATACTGAAACAGAGTTGAACTAGCAATTATGGTCCACCGGGGTCCTAAAACCACAAAAAGTCCAAACACTCCCCAGTGGACGATGCTACTTGAGACTGTTCTCTCAAAGTAGCTGCTTAATTAAAAATACAAAAAACATGTACATGTATACATCATATTCTTAATGTTTCTGCAAATTTTGAAAAAATATGTTTATCACAATTCAAAAGACGTAATACAGAAGAATATTGAATAAGTGCATTTTTGACATATTTTAACAAATCTATTTCAGTTTCTTTCAGAGATTCAATTCTACAGTACATTTTGTATTTATATATTTTATACGCTATAAAAGATATTAATAAATTCAAAGATTCAACCTTATCGTTCTTTTCTAGATAAAAGCCAAGAACGATGTGTTTCCATTTTATATCCATAGTTAAAAAAGTTCCTAATTTTTTCCAAATCTTTTCAACTATTTTACATTCAAAAAGTAAATGTTTTGTGGTTTCAGTTGTTTTGCATAAAGTACAGTTGTCCCCCTTGTCCTTTATCCATTTACTTAGATAGGTATTGTTGCAGAGAATATTATGAAGCATTTTATAATTAAATTCAGCGACTTTGTTGTCATTTATATCTTTGATTTTTCTCATGTATATATTTTGCCATAGATTTGAGTCGTTTGCAGGAATTGAAAACTCTTGAGAAAGTTTAATTTGATAACACGGTTTAACGAATTTTTTATGTATCAAAATTTTATAAAAAAATTGGCATTTCTTACCATTTAGATTTGAATCCCCTGTTGCAAAATGAAATCTCATTTCATTTTTTATGTTTAAATATTTGGCATTAGATAAGTTACATTTTTTACACAATGGTTTAATTGCTGATAATAAAGTTTTATATTCACAAAGCCAGTTCGACTTTCTTTTAATAACAGTGGAAAGCATTTGTAGTGTTTTTATGTTTCCGTTATCATCTATTAAATCTTTTAAATAGAGAATATTACTGTTGACCCAGTTGTTGAAAAATAATGTTTCTCCTTTTATTTTGATATTATTGTTATTCCAAATGGGTTGTTTTAAAATATCATTAGGTGACTTATTTTCGAAGTTACACATTTTTTTACATTCGTTAAATGAGATTAGAATTTGTTTGTAGAAAAGCGGAAGCTTGCCTATTCTGTCAAGCGCTTTTAAACTAGTTTCAGAAAATTGTAAGACGTAATTCAGATTTAAATTCGATTTTTTCAAAAAACTCTCAAAGATTTCAAATACAGTGCCCTTAGAAGATATCAGTCGCGGTATCCACGCTGCTTTCAGAGCCTTGAACTTGCATTCAATATCTGTAATTGATAAACCTCCGTCAGTTAAATCGCCGATCAATGTATTTCGTTTGATTCTTTCCGATTTGTCCCATAAGAAATTAAATAAAAGTCTTTGGACCTTACAGATATATTCTTTATTTGGTATACACAATACAGATGCAACATAAACTAGTTTTGAAATGTTTTGATTATACACGATTTACCAAAAACCGTTAATTTTCTACGCTTCCAAGATTCAAATAACTTTTCAATGTCGTGGTAGATTTTCATCCAATTTTTATTGTAGCATTCTTCTTTGTCGTGTCCTATATAAATACCTAGACATCTTATTGCTTTATTTGTTGCTTTAATACCGTTGATTTCATCATACATATCTTTGAGCCCCCCTAACAGGATACATTCCGTCTTGTTTATGTTGATTTTTGATCCGGCGTGATCGCAAAACTCGTTTATAATTTTCAAACTAAAATCGAGAGATTTCTTGTCATTCAGAGCAACTGTTAGGTCATCTGCATGTTGTATATTAATAATTTCTTTATCATTTATACTAATTCCTGATATATTTGGTTCGTTTTTGATTTTTATGGATAAAATTTCAGCTACAAATAAGTATAGTAAAGCTGATATTGGACATCCTTGTCGGATTCCTCTCGTCATATTACATGTTTTAGATAACCATCCGTTATTTTTCATTTTGAATTTAGGGTTTTTATATAATATCTCTACCCATGTAATAAATTGATCGCCAATATTAAATTTTTTTAATGTTTCAAGAAGAAAGTTCCATTCTACGGAATCGAAAGCTTTTTCAAAGTCGAGAAATAATAATATGCCGTCTCTCTTCTCGGAATTACAATATTCAAAAATATCTAAGATTAGCCGAGCATTTTCACCTATGTATCTGCCTTTATCATAAGCCGTTTGATTTTTATTGATTGTATATGATAATATATTTTGTAACCTTTTAGCTAAAACACAAGCTATGATTTTATAATCAGTGTTTGTTAAGCTAATTGGTCTATAATTTTTTAACAATTGTTTTTCGCCTTTCTTGTGTATTAAAGATATCACAGACAACTTTTGAGATTCAGTCATTTCTTTTTGTTTAAAGATTTCTTTAAGTGCGTCATAAAAATGGGCCCTATAATGTTCCAAAAACATTGGTAGAATTCACATGGTATACCATCTAAGCCAGGAGACTTTTCTCCTTTCATTTCAAGTACGGCATTTTTGCATTCATCAAGTGTAGGGAATTCATCTAACATTAATTTGTCCTTCTCGTTCAGCATTGGTACTTCAATATTGCTTAGATAACTCGAAATCTTAGCGGTTGGAATATTTGTAGTTTTAAAAAGATTCGTATAATAATTATTCATTTCTCCGATTAATGAATTTGTAGTGTTTATTAAATCGCCAGTAGGCGTTTTAAGTTCTTTAATTACATTAGACGTTTGATTTTGTTTTTCAAGATTTAAAAAATATTTTGTATTTTTTTCGCCGCTCTCTATCCATTTTGCTTTTGATCTTATTTGTGCCCCTTTTATTTTTTTGTCATAAAGTTCATTTAAATTTGTGTAGAGTGCCTTAAGTTTTCTATTATTTATGTTGTTAGACTGGCTATTTTCCATATTTTCTATCTCTTTTTCAATAAGGGCTATTTTTCCTCTCATATTCTTTCGTTTATTTTTTGCGAAAAATATTGAAAATTCTTTAACTTTACGTTTAAAAAGTTCCCATTTGTCGATCGGATTTTGTACATTATCTACTTCATTAACTAAATTTGCAATATTTTCCTTGTACTCCTTATTCTCTAAATATGAAACATTTAATTTCCAATAATTCGGACCTCTTGAATTTTTAGAGATACTAAAATACATTTTTAAATATCTATGATCACTCATTCTTGTGCCTCGGGAATGAGTACCTGGTAACTTTCTCACTATAATTTTACCTACTTGAAAACAGAAATTATTATTCATAAAAATATAGTCTATTCTACTAAAAGGGATATCTTGGGCATTACACCACGTTTCGCCTTTCAAATCAGGGTGTTCTCTATTCCAGACATCTACCATATCAAGCTGCTTTAATAGGTTAATCAGATAATTTTTACTTTTGTCTTGTTTGTCATTGAGTCGACAATTAAAATCTCCACATAGAATTACGTTTTCATTTAAACAATTTTTGGTAATAAATGTATGCACTCTTTTGAAAAAATCAACTCTTTTGTTGATGTCGTTAGGTGCGTATATATTTACAATTGTAAAAATTTCATTATCATATTCAACATTTAACAACATTTTTCTACCATCAATTGATTTTTTCACATTCAGTATTTCGATACTTAAATTCTTCTTAAAAAATATTGAAACGCCTTTACTATGTGACGAATCGCTGTATGAATGAAAACTTTTCCCATGCCATCCGGCATTATATTTATGTTCATTTTTTTCAATAAAATGTGTCTCTTGTAATAAAATAACATCACATTGAGATAATTTAAGCCATTCATATAATTTTTGACGTTTTTCATCAGAATTAAGCCCCCTTACATTAACTGATATAATTTGTA